CCAAGAACAAAAACATGGATCCTGCTGGAAAGCAGCTCTGTGCCCAATCCCCTGCTGACATTATGGTGCTGTTTAATTCCCTCCTGTTGCATATTTCCCCTTACCAGGTTTGGGATCTTCCAAAGCCAGAGCATTGCCCCTCCCAGCCCCTCCCTTCCATGTCAGATTGGAGCTGGGTGATGCTGTATGTGGAACTCATCATTTTCTGTAATGTTCTTTAATAACTGCCTTGGCTGCAATGGGGAGAAGTGTAAGGGAACCAGCAAGTGGGTTATTGCATTCAGGTCTAGTTGCTGTCCATAAAAGAGAAGAGGAGGTCTGAGGTCTCTAAAACATACAGCTTGCTTTTCAAAACAGAAACCTCTGAATCTTCCCCTCTCTTCTGTTTCAGTTCTTAACACTGTTGTTGGCATTCATTGGAAGAGAGCAGGAAAAAACTCTCAGCCTCAGAACACAGTTTCTTTCTGCAAACAACTCTGATTTAATCATATTTATCTGCACCTAATGGCATCTGCAATGATGCTGCACTAAGGGTAACAGAGATGCAGGGCAGTGGTAAGGGACAGTTAGGAGGGGATGAGGATGACAGCCTCACTGCTGTCATGTAAAGGCTGTGGGCATTCCTGGAGGCCTCTCTCAGTCACACAAGGACAGGATAAACAGCAAAAGTCAGCTCAGATTTATCAGCAGCAAATGATACCTGAAAAACCTGATTGCTTTCTGCTACGAAATGATTAGCTCCATGGAAAAGGGCAGAGAGGTTGTAAGATATATAATATGACACTCCTCATATGAAAATGCGCAAAGCAGTTGAAAAGCCATTTCTCTTCTTAGCAAAAACTATGTGGAAAATATATAAACTTGGATTTGTAGTTCTTTCACAACTGGAATCCAACAAAACACTTCAGGTATCTGTGCTTGCTATTCCAAAGGGGAATGTTTCTGGTCTTTCTTTCATCCAAACCTTCCCTCTGTTCTCTCTCTTCTAGATTAAGACCCATTTTCAGGACAGTTCCTCTACAGATGCCAAAGGTCCCCACATGCACGTTATTAGAGTAAAGTTTAGGAGCATTCCTGAAAAGGATGCTTCAATGAGTGACTTTGAGGTCATTGACCCAACAGCCAGGAAGCTCAGAAGTTGAGCTTTGAGAAGTCAGCAGCAGCAACACAAACATTCAAGCTTCTATTGTTCACCCTTTGATTTTAGTCACACGTAGCTACAGGGGGAAAGGCTCAGAATCTGATGATTTAATTGAAACTTTAATTTGGGAAAGCTCAAAAATGTTTAAAATAAAGGCCAAAGTAGTTAGTGTTCTTTCTCTATGCTTCATGTTGTTAATTTGCATACTCCAGCATCTCATCTCCCTGCAATTTCTGTTCCCATCAATGAGATTATTTTTTTTTAAATCCTATTTAATTTTTGCTGGGAGTAGATGAAACACTGTGGCTGCTTTCCTTGGCCTAAGGGAAAGTTATATGCGTGCAGTAAAACTACTCCCTGCTATTATCACCCGAGGAGTTACACACATAAAACCAGTTTTTATCCATGAACGAAAAGAGAATTGGAAATGCTTGTAAGTTATTATAATTGGTGAAAAAGATTGGATTCAATAGGTGATTTTCTCCACTCTTCCAAGTGTAAGTAGAGCCCTTCTACCTCAGGAGAGCTGTGCTGATTTATAACACTTAAGGATTTTACCCACAGTAAGGAGGGAAAAGCATAAAACACTCTTTTTTCTTTTTTTTCCCCCCTGAAAAAAAACCCAAACCCTTCCAGCCTCCGAAATCCACTGAGTTTTAAAGGAGAAAGAGTGTGAAGACCATGTCTCCGTGAGAATCTAGGATTTGAAAAGTGACAGAAAAGCAAAACAGAGGAGAATGGAAATAATCCAACACAGGTGAGAGAGATTTAGTTCCCTTTTTGATTACACTCGTGATTAAATTATGCTGACATACATGCATTTTCAAGGAATTCTTTAGGACAAAATAAACTCTTAAAACTGGCAATATTTAAGATGCGACATTTGAGATGATTTAAGGTGATCAAAACTTACTGAAAGACTGTTCTTCAAAGAGCCATGGGAAAATTCCTGGTTAAAATGAAAGAAGTGCCATACTTCAACACAGCCAATATTTATGGGTCACTCACTTGTGCAGTATAGTGCCACTAAGCCACTAAGGCTGAGAGGTATCCACACCACAGGGTATTTAGGTAGTAGAAATGGGATTCATTGCAGCGTTTGGTGAGGGTTCCGTCTGACATTTGATCAATTATTCAGCTTTCATTATTGCATGATCACAACACAGCTTCCCCATTTGAAGTTAGTGCTAGAACCAGAGATCCTCTCAGCATCCCAGTTTGCTGCACTGGCTTTAGCAGGGGAACCTTCACAAGGGATCAGCTGTGCTTCACATTCTGTCTTGTGCAACACCCTCTCGTTTACCAGACAGGGATGTTAGCAGTTCGATGATGAGGGTAAAAGAGCTTTGACAAACACCAAACCCCATCATCATCTCATTTTGGTGAACTCCACATTTTTTCCTAAATAAACTCCATGGAAAACTCATGTAGGAAACCATAACGTGCTACAAATGAGAACCCACAGATTTTTTTCCCTCTTTTTTTCCTAATATGTGAATGCAGGGATAAAATTACTTCATTGAGAAATACATGATACAAGAAAGAACACAAGGGTAGAAGAAAAAAATATCCCAAGTCTACTGATGCCTAAAACATTTGTTTTTCCTCAGGAAAAATGTTCTATCTTAAAGCTCTCCTATGCCACAATGCCTAAAATTCACTGGAAACTGATGTACTGAAATGACTGTTCAAACCAGTGAACAATCATTTATCATTACTTCACTCTTCTGTACGGTACTGATATTCCTTCAAACTGAAAATACATAATAGTCTTTCAGACATTAATGCACAAGTGACCTTCAAAACCCAAACCAAAACACTTCACCTGAACTTCTAATGAAAATCAGTATTTTTCAGATCAAGCTCTGCTCAGGATCTAGAAACAAAGATCAGCCTAAATGCTTTGCAGTCACTCAATGGTGGTGTTGGTACTTTTTGCAGTTTTACCTGAGAGTGACTCAAGTTTACTCATGTATCACTAAATGGATTCTATTGCTGTTGTGCATCAATTCCCTTCTCTGTTGAACTGTTCACCTCCAGTGTTAGCCAAGCATAATAGCATGGTGTTTGATACTGTGGAAACATGCACAAATTACAACCCAACAACCACAATCCTGGACATATTTCTATAGAGGGTAGCAAATATAGGTCTCTCTTCTTAAGAAAATCAGTGCTTTGTCATTTCTTTTGGTCTCCTGTTGCACAGGATGTCTATCTAGTTGGAAACTGCGCTATGAGAATCATTAGAATATGCCAATTTTCCATGTTATAATTTCCTGATAGAAGTTTCCACGAATGTATCTAAAGTTCAAGATGATAATCATGAGAAGCCAAAAAACAATATCCACTCCAAAATGAGGCAATTACTGGGCTAGCCCTTTGCATCCAAAAGGCCACGTTTAGGCTCTTGCTCTGTCTACCCAATTCCTGTTAAGGTACTCAGGATTTTAGCTAGAACTGAGGTTATAATCTTTTAGGGTGGATATTAGGAAAAAATTATTTTCTGAAAGAGCAGTTAAGTTTTGGGAAAGCCTGCCCAGGGACTAGCAGAATTTCACATGGGCCCACTACCATACGGTGCTGTGAGTTGCAAATTACTTCCTCTCCTCACTTTTTACATAAATTCTTGATATAATGTCAGAAATAAAACAGATTTAACTGATTTAATTCTTTATTGTGGCTATAGAGTCACTTCAGGAATGGCAATGGGCAACATCCGACTCCAGAACGCAATCTAAGTCCCTGTTTGTAAGTGCAGTCTGGTGCTTTCAAAGTCTGCTCACAATGGGTGATGTAAAAGCTCAGGTGCTTCAACAGCCACAGCTGCTCCAGGCTTCATCTCCAATGCAGTTGTGAGGAATTCAGAACTGCACACTGGATGTGATTTGCTACGCAGAGGGTGAAGTCTGAGCAAGGATTTTCTTGGTTGTAATCTAACTTGGAGATCATGTGGCACTATTTCTGTTCCAGTAATGAATATGTTGGCAAGCATGGTCCTTAAATTCCGCCATGTTCATGTAACACAAAGGCAAACTGAAACATGTCTTGTTTAATGTTTAATATCTACTTAAAGAGAAAGGTTGTTTTCTGTAGAACTGGTCTTGTCTAAGCTCCTTTTGGTGAGCAATCAGGTTTTTTACTTTTTTCTTGTTGATGTAAAAACAAGTGTCTTCTATTGGAGAACTTTTGGGCAAAAAGCAAAAATATTTTGGTCCCAAACCAAAAAAACTTGAAGCTTAAAATGGCAAACCTCTCATTTTCAGCCAAACAACGAAAACGTTGGTTTTGGCTGAGCATTTTTGGCTTTTCAACAGAAGTGATCTTTTTCTCGGTCAAAATTTTTCCATGAGGTGAGGAATAAACATTACGGTTAAAGCCTAGTGTAATTGGAAGGAAGGAGCAAAGGCAGAGATAAGGAATAAAAACAGTTTATCACAATCATCATGAAGCTACTGTTACCAAGGTCTGCTAGCAGCTATGCACCAATTCAGTAAAGAAACCCTGAAACCTATAGCCTGGTATATTTATAGCATGATTCATGGTCACTGGATGTTCTATAAACACATTTATTGAGCTGTTTTTCTCTCAATTGTTTCCTTTTTTAGAAATTTATCACCAGGAAAAGCACTTGCAGACTATTCCTACCTGCACAGAGATTTCATTGCTGTCCTGGTGATCTCAATTGCTACATAGGCAATAAATAGTTCTGTGTGCTTGTGACCAACCTTGTTAATTCATGAAAATTGCAGTCCCATGCAGGCATCTGTCAGGAGATGCCTTGTCACCCCTTTCCCACCTGCTGTACACAGTCTCAGTCTGGAGGAGATCGGGATGTGTTTAGGGATGACAAGATGAGGGCTTTCTGCAGGAACAGGGCAAGCTGCTCTCACCCAAATTTCCAAAATGGTGTTCTCTGCACAAATCAAAATCTCTGTGTTGGGCTCTGCAGATTGGCTATTCTTGTGGCACGGATTGCATCCAGCTCCTTTGTGGCACAGATTGAGTGATCACAGTGAAAGAGGTGAGATGGGAAAAGCTGGTGGGTAGGAGGATGGGGATCCTCCAGATTAGCAGAGGCAGAAAAGATGTTCTGCACTCCAGAGCTGGCCTGTAGTGAAGTTCTTACTGATGGTGCATGTCTGATTTCTATACTCCTTTTTTTCTTCTGCCCAGTACTTGGCTTTAAAGAGCAAGTTTTATCACAGCACAGCATGAGTGCTAGGCTACTCCAAAGGCTGTGCAGTGTCAAGAGGAGAGCATTCCCCTGAATGACCAGGGCATGCTCCTGTGCTTTCCTTTTCTCTTTACAAGTCTTCAGGAAATACTTGATCATTGAAAGCACTGCTGCCAGCATCACACACAGCAAAACAAACTCCAAGTAAACTACAGAGACCTGATGCTTTTGTCCTCTATCTTTTGTGCAGAAACCATGATCAGAAACAACTTTTTTAATCACTGACTGTTTTAATGTTTCCCAACCAGTTCATAAAGCGGCTTTCAGGACATGACGCAAAACAGCAGTTCAAAGCCATAGATCTTTCTAGTTAATCTAGAAGATTAAGCACCTCACAGCCACTGGAAAGTGCTCCTTGGGACTACAGTATTATGGCCTGGATAAATCTGGTTTTATAATCCTGCTTAGTCAACACTGATCTGGATAAACGGAGACCCATCGTTTGAGAATGAAGCTCAGAAAGAATGATTTGGGCAAAGAGAGGAAAACAGCAGCACATGTTTTTGACAGGGACAGGAAGGTGGCACAGGATGTTAAACCACACCAGGGACAAAGGATAATCCCCAATTGCCCTTTACAATGGTGTTTCACAGAGTCACCTTACTGTGTGTCCTGGGGTGAGCGCGGTGGGCAGGGCCAGCTTGGCTGTGCTGAGACAGCTCGGTCCTGCAGCCAGCAGCAGACTCTGGGACAAGGTGCTACCTGAGATCTGGCACGGTCTTGAACATGCATGAATGCCACCGAGATCAAGGAAACTTGCAGAGCAGCCAAAGTGCTCATTTCTGAGGGCAAAAATAAATTATACTTATCTGCCCTCCTCACCTTGAGGGAAGAACTAAGAATAGAAGTAAATATGCACACTAATCAGTTGATTTCCAGGAATCCCAGCTTACCTACCAGCATTTGACATAGGAGTAAATGTATTTCTACCAGAAATTCCTCATGAGAACTCAGCTAAACCATTGCACCACCCTGCAGCTGATAACAGCCTTTAGCAACCAACAGTAGAGATTTTATTTTTTTTTTACCCCCAAGGATAGCAGTATTTGTCCTCCTTTACTTTGCTGATTTGTCCTTTACCAGCACTCCAGGAAAGCTGAAATGAAGCTTGGCTCATGGATGTAGCTGAGGTAATTGTTTTCCTCTTTATATTTTTTTTATCATTTCTGAAGTTAGAGACATGTAAAGACAAAGCACCTTACTTACAAAGCTTTCTGATGAAAGGATGAAATGCGGTCTGTACTCTTCACTAAAAAAAATACCCTCAGTTCTACAAACGCTTCAGTTTTCTAACAAGTTTTCTATTCAACTGCAGCCAGCTCAAGTTTGAAGTGCATTAGATTGTTACATCAGCAGCTTAACTACTGGGTTATTAAAGCACTGATCAGATGAGTGAAGAACCGGAAACATTTATTGCAAGTAAGAATTTTAGGAAATACCTTTTTTAACACTTGTAAAAGAAACACTTGTGTGTACAAATATTGATAAATGGTGCAAAAAAAAAAAAAAAAAAAAAAAAAGTTAGAAAATAATTGTATTTAAATCCAGGTTGCCTGTATTTCTGAACATGTGCTGCTAAGGCATAAATTATTGGCTTAGTACACACATTATGGCCAAAATTCACTTGTCAATGTTTTGCACATTGTCAGATCAGCTGGTCACAATGGCTTTGTGTTCTAGAGGAGCTGCTTTATTCAAACAAAGATTTTGCAATTAGCTCACAAACGAAAATCAATTTGAATTATAGAGCTTTCTAATACAGAGCATTTGTCTGCTCTGAATCGATGCAAAACCTTTGCCAGTAAACACAGAGAGAATGGAAGTGTTGAATGTGCAAAAGTTTGCTCCTACTCACCCAAAGTGATAATATTAAAATAAGTGTTCCAAGTACTTCATGGCACCAAACCCAGAAATGAGAAAAGAAAGCTTTTAGAAAACAAAGCAGCACATGAAATTCATTACCTGAGTATCATATCATTTTGGCTCAGAAGTGCTGCCAGGGGGACACAAGAAGGAAGGAAAGATCCCATTCCTCACACATTTGTTACGATCCAGAAACTTTGCTTTCTTGAGAAACTTCTGCACTAAAATCACTGGAGCTAATATTGCAGAAAACTTTTGGACATAGATTTCTATTATTCTCCTCATTTAAATTTTTTCATCAACTACATAACAGAAAGTGTCAAATCAGCACTGAAGATTCCTCTTTTTCTTTCTGTTCTTCTCTTTCCATTGCCTTAGAGAAAACTGTGTCTTAGTGTTAAAGCAGCAAGATCCATCCAACTTAAGCAAAGGTTACACAAGCTAATACAATTACTACGGTCTCCATATTTTCCCAATAATGAATCTAGCTCTAATTCAGAAGATATGCCCTGCCTGGGAAACAATGTGAGGTTGAATGAGGACAGAGCAATGAATGAGATGTCATAAAAGCCTGACGTTCTTGAGTGCCAGCAGAATGGTTCTTTTCTGATGGGTGCTCTTGGGTTGCTAATTTGAGACATTTGGAGCATTTGGTATACAGCTGTTCAGCTCTGAGTGCAACGGCAAGCATTTTCAAGCTAAAACCACAAGAATGAACCGATGAGGCCATTTGGAAGCCATGTTCAGAGAACTTACCTCCTCTGAATACATTGTTAGAGTTTAGGAGCAGAACCCCCCTCCCTTCCCTGCTGGTTTTCCTTTTGCACTTCTCTAAGCACCTGACCTTGCCAGAGATTCAGATATTGTAGGCAAAGAAGCTGGGAGCAAAGTTTCACCGTGCTGGGTGATTCCAGCGGTGGGGTAGAGGGAGGAAAAGGGGTCTCATTCCACAAACAACTCCTTATTCTTCATTAGAGAATCTGTAGCTATAGCAATTGATATGGACTCTTTCATTTCTTCCCTAACACGTGCACATGCAGTATGCAATATGCTTTGCTGACATGTTTTACTGGCAGGAACCAGCTTGGGATTGTCCAATAGGAGGAGATAAGAATCAGTGACTGTTTTTCCATAGTTGATTGGTTTTGTTAACTGTTAACCTGTTTACTGATCTTGTGGTAGTGGATGACATCTATCCGAGCTGTCACAAACAGAGATATTCAGTGCACTGCATTAAGGTGAAGAAGATCAAGGCCAGTGTCATAGACATAAGGAGAAGGTGTTTTGGTCAAAGGGTAAAACGTGTGAGACTGGAATGCATGATGAGTTTCCTCTGGATCAGTCACTGAATTAACCTGAGTTTAGAACTTTCATCAGCAATCTTGGGCGTGTTAAAAAATTGGGAATGAAATGTGGATTCCGGAGGAAGGAAATACCAAAAGGGGAAAACCAAGCAGTCTCGATGGACTGAGTAATGGAAGTGGGCTGGAAAATTAGTAACACATAGTGTCAAACCACAAGTGGTCATAGCAAGAACTTTTGCTATATATTCAGAATACATCAGATAGAAAAAAAAGAGAGAAGAGGAAGATGTGGTTATGAACAGTGGAAAAAGATGAATCCAATCCAATGTATCAGAGGAGGTAACTGCAGATAGGAAAGTATTAGAGTAGTTGTAGTACTGTAATTACATTTTTAATTGAAAGACTATGAATTTTTTCTCATATTCTTTTTCTTTTTTCTTCCTTCTGAACTGGGGTAATTTCCTTGACACTGCACATTTCTCTATCTTTGATTGCATGGAAAATCAAACATGAAATTGGTGCTAAAAACAGGGTGCACAGTTTGTTCTCTAACCAACTACTGAAACCTTCAAAATGCTTCGTTGTGAAGTGCAGGAATCTGCAAATGAGCACCAAAGAAGAATCAATGTTATTACATTGTTTCTTTCTCCTTTTTTTTTTTTTTTTTTTTTTTTCCATTTTCTTTTCCCCCTGGTATTTCTAGAAAATTTTATGATTGACTTTTATGCCATCAGATTGCTGACAGTAATTTTGCATCTTCAGTTTCTTGATTTTTGACTCTTAATACTTGCGCTGCTTTTCTATAACCATCCTCAAGAATTAAACTGCTTTTAGAAGTCTGTCAAGTTTGTTCAAAGTTCAACAGATTTGAAGACAAAAAGGGGAGACCAATTCACAAGAATGGGCTGATTCATCTGTTTACTGTTTCAAAAACTGCACATCATGTGCCCTTGATAACTTTTGCTAGGGCATCTCCTTAGATCTCATTCTATAGATTTCTCACTCCCTTATAAAGAAAAATGAAAGAGAAAAAAAAAACCCACAATAGTAATTTCAGCAACCGACTTTAAATATTGTGCTTGAGCTCCTAAGTCAATTTGAAGAAAAACACAGAGAGGAGAGCATAGCCACACAGAGCACGTGTAAGACTGATATCCTTCTTCCTCTACCCTTCCCCTCTACTACAAGCATTCAGTGCCAGTTATTCTGTTACACAGCTGTCTCTGAAAGCTTGCATATGCAACTTTATCAGGATTCTTATGTTTCTTTCTGCCGCTGATGTTTCCATCCATTCCTGCATTTAAGAGTAAATCAAATATAAAGTGATGTTCACCATGTACATGCTGTGCACAGCACACTTGCCTGCCTATTTTTCACTTCCTTTTCACATCATTCTTAATAGGCCTTTAAGGACATATCTGTATTCCCGCAGTGTTATTTATGGTTCTGACATCATCCCTCAAGGTGAACAGTACTTTGCTGTAGAGTATTTACTCTTTTATAGTAAATCTGCCTGCTGCTTTCTATAAAAACAGGAAAACAGCTGCAACTTTTATAGGTGAGAATGAAGGTTTCTCCCCCCTCCTAACATACATTTCATCATGGGGAAGTTAAAAGTGATTCTGGGAGGAGAAACACAAAGCATGAGTGTGGTCCTTCCTGACTGAATTCTATCTGTATTCCTTCAGCTGACATTAAACAAAACGCATAAAGCCTCAACAGATGTTTTTATTATCATGCATTACTTATGTGAATGCAATATGGGCAAGCACAGCACTAAATAAAAGAATGAAGTGACCTTGGACCATGGGAGTAGGCCTTTCTTAACAAACATCTTGTTAAGTAGTTAAGTGTATGCACAGTGTCTTTGAATTAACCAGCACAGAGCAAAACAAAACCTGTACAGAAATACAGTCAACAAATCACAGGCATTGGGTGCTTTCACTACAGAGGCATGGGAGATTCAGAAGGTTTAACAGCTTCTACTTGCCTCTCCAAGAGCACATTTGGTAGAGAGAACTTGCAAATACCATGTAAAGAGTAGCTCTGGAGTGGTTTCTAGCACCTGCATCTAATTAGAAACAAAATAAAGCATAATTATTTTTAGTTTTTTTTTTTTTTCTGTCTCTTTTGTAAGTGCAATTTTAAAAGGAGTCGCTTATGCTATTTCCACTCGCATCTGATCTGAACAAAGTGTGATGCTGTAGTGCACAACACGTGCTTCAACCCCAACTGCCTCCAGCGCTTTATGCACTTAACACAATGAAGCTTTCTGACAGCTGGAAAGATCTGAAAGGCTGGGGGAGACGAATGGAAACTTCTTAGTATTACCACCTCTGGGATATGTCTTTGTATTAGCATTTCAGATGAGGAATTCTTATGAATGAAACCCCTCATCAATGATTATCAATGGGAAGAGTTCATGTGTCAGTCCACTCCAGTTAGTGTGTATTTTGTTAAATTTCATATACTTAGAACAACGTGGAGCAAATCAGGGTCAAACCAAGAATCAACATTGTTTTAAAGCAAAATATCTGCTTGCTCAAAACATCAGTGCCCTTAAATGAAGCACTGAATCCAGATTGTCTTTACCCCTAGACTGCAGTCTCTGCTGGTGTTTAAGCCTCCTAAAAGTCCATGCAAAGCCTCAAAGTTCTTGCCCAAAATGCTCAGTATAGTGTTTACCACATTGTATGCTGCTCTATGTGTTATCTCAGAGGACTTTTAGGCCCAAGTCTGAGATTTCTCTTCCTGACATAGGCAATCCAAAATATCACAGTTGTAATAGAGCACTGCTGAACTCCTCAAGGCTTCAACGGAAACTAGAAGCTTTATTTTCTTAGCTGGCTGGTCAAGCATTATGTCTGAATCTTTGGACAACTTTTCTTCCAAGTGCTCTCCATGAAGTTAATGGGAGCACAAATGTGTTTAAATAAAGACAACTTATGGAAAACATTCATAAAGACAAACTTGTCTCTCATGATCAGTTTTGCTGATGTGTGTAGACTGGACACTGTCACTACAGCTTCATAAGAACTTTAGAATTTGCTCCCTCTTTTGTTCCACTGTCAACTGGTCAAATATTTCAAACATTCTCCCTTAACAAATGTGCCCTTGTGGGGGAAAGTCCATTAGTAACAGAGTACTTGCATCTTGTCAGGACCAGACTTTAATGGCTGTTTGAATTTTAACTATTATTTGCTAGCTGTTCCTGCTCAAGCCAACTACATCCATAATAAAAGCCATTAAATACCAAGTAACTGGCCTCAGTGTAGCTGCAGGGTATAATGCTGAGTATGATCTGAATTTATCCATTGCAAAGCAAAGACTTTGATCCACACAAACCTTCTGGAGATGGAAACTATTTTTTGGAAGAAGATTGCCTATTGCAAGAATAAGAGTATTCTTCTTTGCCACAGGGAAGATTACGTATAGGCTGAAGGTAACATGACAGATTGTGAGCCATTTTCCTATTTACAGGATGAATGAAGACAGTGTAAAATATTTGGTAGTGATTTACCACACTAAACATGAGACAAGGCAACCTGGTGTTTGAATCAGTGGCAATGCACACTGTGTAGAAGACAGAAAATGCACTGCATTGGCTCAGCAAAAAGCAAGGCAGCTGTCAGATTCCTGGATAAAAAGGCCATGTGAGTCAAGCTGAACTCTGCATTTTTTTGTCCCTTGCCATTATTGCTACTCTCTGAGAACCAGAAAGCCCTCACCGCACAGAAAGCGTAACTGATTATCGCTGCCCAGTGATACTGCAGGGCATGAGCAAAGGAACTGCAGCAAGCACAGACAGAATGGTAAGTTGTTGTGGTTCACATGGGTAAGTGGGGCTCACATGCGGTTCATGTGGGCAAGTGGGCACATGAAGCCTTGATTGTGCTACATCAGAGAACACACCAGAAAAATTCCCAGAACATCCATGGGTCAGAGTAGGTGATTAAAGCCTCTTCTCATCCCAGCAAGGAGAACACAGACACTGCTCAATCACAGCTTTGTCCTGCTGTAACCTAAGAAAGGAGGCTGAGATAAAAAGGGGATGTGTTGTCCATCTCCTGAGCAATAGTTGAATGAAAGCATTGCATCACAAACCAATGGAAAAATGGCACTGCCCTTTGAGAGATCTATCTTCCCCAGTCTTTATGGCTTTTTTGCAAGGATGTGGGGTCTAAGATGAACACTGGCAGCATTTCCACTTACACAACAAATCTGATTCTAAGCCATTTAAAGTGGTTAGGAATAATAAATCAAAAATCTGTAGAAGAAAAATTAAAGGCATGGTGATCAATATGAGAAGAATGTGTATCTCTCACGTAGATGTGAGGTAACAGAGACAAGTAAAATACTCAGTGCATGAAAGCAGAAAGGTAGGACAAAGGTTAAAATAAAAGTTTTCTGGTTATTTACTCATGGCCCAATCAAAGTCAACTGAAGAAAACAGAAAGCCTTAGTGAGCTTTGGGATAGACTGCTAAGACATTTGCACATCTTAAATGCTTGCTGGATGCAACCAGCGCACTGAGACCAAAGTACTGAATGCAGAATTAAAAATAAACAACACATTAGCTCAAATGTGAGCATAACACAGAGCTCACAAAGCAGTTTTCCATACAAAGCCCTTAACTCACAACAAAACCGACAACAGAAGAAAAAATAACACAATCAAAACCAAAATTCAGCCCTCACAAGTGATGTTCAAAACAATGCTTGGCTGGAGAGATGAGTTTTACACCATATCCCAAATCCAAGCAAGCTCCACAGCTGGAGACACTAATCTGAAAATGTTCACTGCATGAACTGATCCCTGCAGGGGTCAGGAAGAAATTTATTTCCCTGAAGAACAATAACGTATTGGCAAGGTGCACCACAGGAATGCTTCACCTTTTTGAACCAGCGAGTGTTGCTGGTGGCTGGATAGCAGACTTGACAGACCATTACGTATCATCTGTTGAGGCAATATCAGTGTAATATTGAAGGTGGCCCTGGAAAAAATGTTTAGCTGAAAGAACTTCATATTCCTATAGGAATAGCTTACTGAGGCTTCACTAGCAAGTTACTCAAGCTGAGATTAACAATACTTTGCTCGCTATCTTAAGTAAATCATAACACACTTTGCTTTGAAGGTGCTTCACATAAAGCATGCAGCGTGTGGGGGAGCAACAGAGTTCACCTTCTTTGAATTAATTGACTTATGCAAAATTGGCTCTCTCTTTCACTGAAAAGCATAATGCTGTGTAATTTCCTGGGGCTGGAAAGCACATTCCAACATAGGTTAAAACTTAAACTGCTTCCAGAGTGCTTGGATCATCCCTGTGTTTGAATGAAATGTGCTAGCTGACATTTAGGCCCAGGAAAGCCCTGAGAAAGCAGATAATCACAGCTATCCAGTAGTGGTTTTCACAGAATGATATTAAAGTGCTTGAGTTACAAGACTAATTTGCTTCTGTATATGTTCTTTTTTTTTTATTATTTTATTAGAATCAGCTCAGGAGTTTGCATGATTCCAGTGATGTTGAATGGGGATTAGTTTGAAGTGAAAATGTGTTTTCCATTTGTCTGAGAAAGACACAACAGGGAGCAGAGCCCAGGAGATTACTGAAAGCTCTGGGTGATTCTGAGAGGCCAAAGGCCGAGTGACTTCAGATTTCAGTGGAGTGTAATAATCCCTTAGAAATGCACAGCCTGGTGTGTCTGATTGTGCAATTATGGTATGGAAACTGTAGTGCACTTCTGAGCTGTGGATTACTCACTGTGTATCATTAGCACAGGTATGATACCAGCACTGGGCACTCAGCAGTACCAGCTGCATCTGGAGTTACCTGCAGAAAAAACTTCCACTTCCCTTTTCCCTGCTTCACTGGGATGCAGTGTCTCTTCTTAAGTTTGACAGCAATTCAACTACAGAGTAGCAAAAGGTGTAGCTGATTAGCTGATTACCTGATCTGTGGATGACGAGTTAGCCATTTTGCCCACCTCAGGATATTTATGCAGTTATTAGTGGGAATAAAGTTATTTCAGGGATCAAAGAGGCTGCACTGTGCCCTGTTTTCCTATTCTGTGCTATCTGTGACATATGGTAGACTTAAATCTTTGTACTTATCACATGCCTTGCCAACACAGGAACATATTGGCTTGTTTCGTAATGTGTCTTTTATTTATTCACTTCAATTTGGTTGCTAAAACAAACATTTTCCTTGTCTGCATAGCTATGTGTTTCTACAGATGCACTTAGCAGCCCCATGATTCTCCCTGCATCCATCCTGAATGCCAGCTCCAGATGTGGGTGCCCTGAGAGACATCTCAAACATCTCTGATGCCAGATGTGACAGACCTGAATCTGGGGAGCCTTCTCACCATGACTGCTCAGCATCTCATATCAAGAGAAACATGTTGTGTCTACAGGGGCAGCAGCACCCATATAATCCCTAATTATACTTAAATTTTTGTTTTCAGAGAGCCAAAATACTTTATCCATGATGGGAGTAATACAATAATGTTGTCCCTACTGATTTTTCCTTTATTCCAACTATTTGCTAGCTGCCTTTCTGTGGATAGATTTGAATGCTGTTAGTGACCTTGTGAAAACACTGTTGTCATTACTAGAACCAGGTCACAAATACCCCTGGGCACAATGAAATGTTTCACCTGCAATTCTTCAAATAGTTTCCACTGCTGTTAATACTTTGAGGTGTATGAGGTCTCGCACACGTCTATCCACTAAATAGCTATCACCTGCACACAATATTTTGGCATCAAATATCTTCTACATAGAATTCACAGAAGTCTTACTTGAGGATTTATCAATGCACCAAATTCCTGATTTCCTGGAATAGCTCATCTAGAGGGAGAAAAAATCAGCTTCAAATGGGAAACGGAACCTTTCCAAAGTTCATTGGTGTTGGAGGTCAAGTTTTAGTTCAGCTCATTACAGACACAGATGTTAAATTCAGATTAGGAGTTACATTTTGGAAAAGTTTAAGATGTTTTGGGATCTGTGGTTTTGGCCTAACCCTCTCTTTAATCAAAAATGACATCCCTGGGCAAGAGAGTCTTCAGCTTTTTCGTACCTCTCAGAAACGTGCATTCAGACATACAGAAGCTATTTCAGTCTTGATGAGGTAACTCAGGTCATGTTTATTACCACGGCACAGTTGAAAAATCTCCTCCTGTTCAGACAAAAACCCTCTTCCACACCCACATTTCATTTTTTGCCTACAACTTTTACAACTTTTTGGGGAGTGTTTTGTTTTAATGAGGAAAAGAACAACACTGTTTCATTATGATTGTCAAATCAAATACATCACATCCAAAGAAAAAAATTAAGTGAAGACTTTCTCTTGTTTGTCAGCTGTGGCCTCTGTGAAAACAGTGGTTACTATAAGTGAGATGCTTTTGGATGTGAATGTTTTCCTTTGAGATCTTTTTAATTACTTCTATGAGAAGCACAACGACTGAAGTCATGTTAAATTTAGAAAACAGCTTCTTCAAGACTCTGCAAGAAATGCTTGCACACTCATTCCTCAATGCAGGTTTGTATTTCGTTTATCCCACTTGAAGGGCTGAAGAGTCCTAACATGCACCTTACGTGAAACACTAAGACACCAATATGGACCTGTGGAAATACTTTCATGTGGTATCCCTGAAAGATCTGACTCTGTGTGCTTTCACCTTCTGAAACTTTCTGGTCTGAAAGTGGTGCTTGGTCTCTTTGCACAGAGTTCAGAATGCACTACAGAGAAGGGCACCAAAAGAGGGACTGCGGCAGAAAGCCAGCTTGTGCAGGTCAGGCAGAACTGCCTCACTGCTGTGCTGTTCTTCAGCCACCTGCCAGAGGAAAGGCTGGGTTGTATCCTTGTTTAAACAGAAAAAAAGCAGCAACAAAACATCTTATATAGCAGTCAATTTACAGGATTGTATTATAATCACAGCTAAAAATCTGAGAATCGTGATGTATGATGTAAACAGCATTTATGAGTATTTATAAAAGTGAATGTAGCTACTCAGTGTTATTTCTTCCTAGCAGGTAAATAAAACTTTCATTTTATATGTGGGTGAACAAAAGACTTGGCCACAGCCATGTGAAACCTGGAACTGACCCCAGACATTCTCTGTCTAGCATTACACAAGGTAGAAAAGGAATTTACTAAATATAGTATTTTCTGCCCAATGTATGTGCCAAACAACTGGAAAAAGAAGTTAAAAGGATACACATGAAAGAAAAAGAGTACCTCAACTACTTTATGTAAAGAGATGAGAGAATTTAGTTTGAGTAATTTCAGAACAAAATGATATCAACAGATTGGACAACATTCAGAAGTGACCAACAAGAGTCTGAGCTGGAGAGACTGATTCATAAAAGTGAAATAATACTGCTCATTTGTACATCTTGTTTTACCAAACATAACATCAGCATTGGAAAGGGATGGTTTAGTGGGGTATATGAAACAGCTATAATTAAAGGGATGAGGTCAAGGAAACAAACGCCCCAGATAGCAGGGAAAACTTTCTGACAGTGCTATCTCTTAAGCTGCAACACTCTGCAAGGAGAAGTGATTGAGGCCACATCTCCTAGAATAGTTGAAATTAGATTTGCCAAAGCACCAGAAAATGCAGCACAAAAAGCAATCCTGGCTTGGCAGGGGAGAGGACAGGATTAGCAGAGGTCTTTCCTACGGTTACAGAGGACCTATGGTTACAGTAGGGGTTCAGAGTTATTTTTGTCTTTTACAACAACTGTTTGATGAACGACTCCATTATTTCCCAGCTGTCAATGAATAAGAAGAAAGTGTTTCCCGTGGAGTAAAATCTTTCCTGTAAGGTAAAGAATCAACTGGAGAAAAATGCCAATGTCACATTCCAGTGCTTCACTCCTTATTGTGCTTGGCATGTTGCTTCCTCTGTCCTACACAGCAATTGGTCCATACCAGGACAGAACCAGCCTGTTCTGTCTAATAAAATTTTACTGCATTGCTTTTCAAAATAATTTCTATACTAGCACTCTGAAAGCCAGGAAGGCACACAGGCAAGAAAAAACATGCTTACAACTCATTATGAGAATAGTTGCACAAAAGAATTTGACAATGCAGCACAGTTTGTCACATCAGTTTCGTTCCACTAATTGTTCCTTTTTTTATTTAATGAAGAACCATCACCCTAAAATAGACTGTTTCCATAAGAATGCACAGAAATGAAATTGAAAATAAAATCATTAAGTCTTATTATCTGTACAGCCACGCCAAATTCTTTTTTTTTTTTTTTCCAATGACCTTCTCAAATTCCTTTCTCCGTGTCAATGGTGCTCTCTTAAATATTGCGGGTAAGGAGGCAAAAGGGGTGAAAGGAAGTGGTCAAACCACCATGTTCACTGGTGTTGCAATAATTGGAAGCTGACCATTTTCAGCATTGTCAGTAATAACAACATGGGTTCAGCCCCTGGAAATACTCTCTCATCAGCAGCGTGCTGTTTGTAGTAAGCCCCCCTCAGTCCTTGACTTTAAAGAAAATCTATCAGAATCTGGGCTGGAATTTGCCTTGCCTCAGATGCCACAGTTCCCCATCTCGGGTTATGGAAGCAAAGCAGCTTCTGAGGTGACTCAGTAGACTAACAGTGCCCCATGCCTTGCTACAGACTTCTGGCTCTTGCTCAGCCACCTAACAACACAAACCTGTCATCATCCCTCATTTTTACGTTTTTCCTAAAAGTAGGCCCTGTCACAGGAAAGCTGAACACTGTTTAACTCAGTCTCTCGCTTTCGGTCCCCACCTGAACTCTACAGAACCCTGCACTTGGGCTGGAGGCAACCGCGCAGCCCTGTCGTTGGAGATGGCTCCCAGCTGCTCCTCAGGCCTCGTCTGAAGCCCTGTCAAGCTGCTAAGGGCTGCTTCGCCTCCATCACACACACTTTGCCTTCGTCGTTTCTGTGGGCTGTTCCCATCCCTCTTCCTCCTGTTCTCCCTCAGAGCTTCCATAAGCGCAAAGCTTGCAGCTGTCCTCAAGGCGCCATGCTGGGCAGGAGGGTGGGCCAAGGGACTGCATGAAGACCCAAGGGGTGCAGAGGAGACTTTAGGGACATGTGTAGGCCGTGTGCTGTCATACCACTGTGTACGAAGCACAAAATATCCCTCCTATGGCCTGGTTTGAGGAATTCCTGAAGGTATCCTGGGTGGAAAAGGATCCCGTTATATAGCCTGTGCCCTCAGGCAATCTGTTCCAGAGCCCATTGAGCCTTTATGGACTGGTGTTTAATTTATTAATTTTACTATTTTTGTAATTTTCCCATCACAGCAGGTTACAATGCTGTCTTTTCCTAATTTCCTTTTCAGTTCCAGTTCAGGTATCTCCTTGTTAAGGACAGAGGAACACTGGTTCCGAAACAAAGACAGGTTTTTGCAAGGCCACATGAAATCCTGGGATCTGCAGAACAATGGCATACATCAAAGGGCTCCTCCACTTCGTCCTGGACATGTTGGAAAGTAGAGGAACTGATTCTATTTTCCAGGTTCCAAATTCACTTAAACATATAAAGAAACTTTCTTTCTCTCACAGCATGGAAAACACAAGGAGAAGTCTGTTTCACAATGGGGAAAAATGGTTTTTAGATGGCTGCGAATGAACTGATTAATATGAAGAGAGACAATCTCCATTTAATTTCCTCTATCTCCAGTAAGTTAAGTCCATCCTCTTCTTATATCAGTGGAAGTTGTGGTCCGTAATTTCTCCTTCCACCCTTCTAGATGAACCTAACGTCCTTCACTCTTGCACAGGTTGATGACGTAGAGTCACCCTCACAAAGTCAAGTGCAGTTCCTACCTGTTCAAGTTCCATTAGCAAACACCACCCCAGAAGGGCCTGAGAAAAAGGTGGGTCACAGCCAGTCACAGCCCATTACACGCACTTAAAGGCTGGTGCATTGTCAGTGCACATTGATCCTTCAGGCACAAGTTCCTTTTTAGGCCATGCATCTCCACAGCATCTGCACTTGCAAGCAGTGACAAACAAACACCATCAGGCTGGTGGGATCAACTGCTTTTGTACTGTCTCATTCTGTGCACCTTCTGTTTGCCTGTTCTATTCTGATAATGCTGAAAAGATTCCAATTTTTAATGGGGAAAAAAATGGAAAAGAAAAGCATAGTGCCATTGAGTCCTAAGAGTGCCATTGAATCCCTAACTCATTCCCCAGCTGTTTGCTCTTAGGCACTGGGGAGTTGTAAATAGCTGGAAGCAAGACTGCAGAACAGTGGTATATACATTTTGTAAATGGAGCTCTGAGTAATGTCCTGGTTTCAGGACCAGTGAAGTCAATAATGGCCTAGAATATACCTCCATGTGCAGATTATTATAAAATGGAATAATAATAAAAGGGGTTCTGGATTTTCACAAGTTCAAGTCATAAAGAGAAGGGAAATTATATATTTACTCTGCCTTCCAGTCATTTTTTGTAGCTATATTGATACTTTTCTCAGAGAAGAGAAAGAAGAAGCAATACTGTCATCTCTGGAGGAAGAAAAAGGAGAGAAAAAAAAGAAAAAACTTGAGTCTAACTTCAGTTCTGTAGGCATCTTTCAAGTTTAACAGTACTGCAGTCAACGGCAATAATCATTTAAGCAAGTCAGTATCTTCCAGTGGCTTCCAATTATAGACAGTTTTGCAAATAAAGGAATCAGTGGCAAAACCACTGTTGATTATCATGCATTATTTGCCAGAACAAGTCATATTTCTTCATTACTACTAAGCAGAATTACAGTGAGTCATTCTATCAGAAAATCTGAACCATGCGCAATATTTAGGAGTAACTGTTCTATATAATATGGCCTAGGGGGGGAAAAACAAAACAAAAAGCATCAACAAGGAAAGACATAATGGAGCCATATTTGTTATAGAACTGAGTACAAAGAATTGTGGATACACTGAGGACTATAAAAATAGCAGTGTCCTGAAACCACATATTTGTGTCTGTGTGTATTAAAAAAAATCAGTTAATTGCACTTTCCCCGTTGGATTGTGCTTTGCTTTTTTTTTTTGAGTCAAGTGGAATTATATTAATGGAAGCCGTTTGTCAGCTTTGCAACCCAGTTTGCTCAGCACAAAATGGGTCCAACTGTTCTTACTGCAAGGTAGAATACATGGAATTGTGGAATTTTAAGATACTTTGTTAGTCAAGAGCTAAATTTCTCCTCCGGCACAGGTGTTTTTTGAACCTACCTTGAAGTAGATTATAGATGACATCTTCATTCTGGTGGATGCATGACAGATACTCTCTTATTGCTGTGGCTTACCCCAGCACTGCCACTT